AGGGACTGAATGAGAAGATGAATTTAGGATTGGGGATTTATCTATACATTTCCCAAAGTAATTTCAAGAAATGGAATTAAATTATGGAGTTATACGGTCAAAAAATATGATCATTTTATGCGTCAAAGGGAAGAGCACATGAACACATGCAACAAAGTCTCAATTTCCACATTTTTGAATGTTGAAAATTTGACATCGTGATTTTTGTCTCATTCGATTTTAAAATAAACTTTATTTGTTAAAAAAAATAATAATAAAAAAAAAAACTTATTTTTGTGTGTATCTATTTAGAATTTCTCAACGGTTTTTAAGATTTCAAAATTTTTGTATATATTATTTTTTTTTAAAAAAAAAAAGAGTCATCCACCACTTAATGTATTTGACAACGTACCTATCCACAAGTGTATTGATTGTAGGACACATGTCAATACATTATTGGTGAATAAGTGCGGATTCCTCCATAAGTCGAGTCATCCGATGTCTCCATAACAAAACTGGTGATTGGATATAGATTTTGTTGGTTTTTAACTTTTTTTTAGCTATAGTTAATTCAAAAAAAAATAGTATGATTAGTTGTTAGTAGGAATTTAAGTATAAATTAAATAATATTTAAAATAAATAATTAAACCGAAATGAACCGTTCGGTTCGGTGCGAAATCGCAACCGAACCGAACAAAACTGAAAACCGAGCTTATGAAAAACTATAACTGCACAACAATGTAGGAAAAAATCGAACTGAAACCGAACAAAAAAATTTTTATTAAAAAAACCGAACCGAACCCTAACGAATTGCACTGTTTGACTTGATTTTGCTCACCCCTCATATAATTAGGGCTGCAAAAATGTCGAGCCGAGTATTGGCCTTATCGAGTAAGATTGATTTTTTTTAGCTGCTAATAAAGCTCGAGCTTGTCTCGACAACATAATACAGTAGCTCGAGCTATGCTCAAATTCAAAATGTTCGAGCTCGGCTCAAGTTCGGTTCAAAACGAGCCTCGCGAGCCGCTCGATTCGTGTGCAGTCCGAATATAATTTATACCAGTAAAAAATTAATAAAAATTCAAGATTTAATTCAACTTTAATCCAACCTCGTTATCTATAATATCATCAATATAATTAAATAATAGCAACCAGTCATTAATTACTACACATTACATCAACTTAATTCACTATTTATCCGCTCACATAATTTTAACTAACTACCTTTCAATCAATTTTCTTATACTTTACATAAAATCAACTTTAATTATTTTATTTTAAAATTTATTTAATTTAAACGTAAATTTTCACTAACAACTAACAATACCACATTTTTTTTTAAATTAACCATGGTTAATAGAAAAAATCAATCAAATCCATGTCCAATCACACTCTAAAATACCAATCAAAGCTCAAATTTAACTGAATTTTTTTAATATTATCAATATAATTAAATATAATCAACCAATCATTGTTATACATCACATCGATTTTAATTAACTAATCATCCACTCACATAATTTTAACTAACCACCATTTCCAATTATTTTTTCCATACTTTACATCAAATCAATTTAATTTATTTATTTAAAATATTATTTTAAGTTATACTTATATTTTCACGTTAACAACTAACAATACCACTGTTTTCAAAATTAACTGTAATTAAAATAACAAGTCAATAAAAAAAATTAATCAATATTATATTTAATCACAACCTTACTAGTCTAGTTTATATATCCAATCACACCCTTAATATTTTGCATCATAAATCATAATGTTATGGTACATATAGATTAACCTCAGCAGCATCTTCTAGTTTCCATATTTTTACTTGCAAGTTCTTGAAATCCAGTTTGCTTTTGACATCTAACCAACCAAAACGGCAATGAATCACACCCATATTATCTATCATAGTCTAAGGGTGGAACAGTAAATTAAATCAAATTCAACTCTATTTTTTATTCTTTTAATTTACTTTATGGTCCTTTCTGCACTCATGTTTTCAATTCAATTATAACTACACATCTATATAAAAATTACTATTCATCTATTCAATTATTTATTATTACCTAGTATCATTTATTCTATTGAGAAATGCTACAGTCCCGTACAGAACTGTTCCGTCGAGATTTATAACTGTTAGATCGTTATGTAACCGTTAGATGTAACCGTCGTGCATAGTTGATCTAATGGTTACAAAACTCGACGAAATGATTCGTCAACGGGACCTTAGAATATTTCGAGTTTTCCATTTTCCATGAATGGCTGACGTCAGAAGTGACGCCCCCATCCCTTATCCCTTTAAGTTTCTAACCCGTTGTTTTTAGCCACGTGATTCATACTCACCAATCCAACAACTTGCTCCATACTCCTAAAAAGAAAAAAAGAAATAAAAGAAGAAAAAGAAAAATCCAACAACTTGCTCCACTTGTAATTTTTATGAACCTTCGGAGAACCCAAACCCATTTGGAGAAGAGAGAGAGAATCACAAACCAACACGCAATTTTGTACAATTTAAAAAAAAAGGGTAAAATACTTTTTCCCAACCGAACTATCATGGTTTTGACACATCACCATATAAACTATTTTTTTTACAAACCACCATATGAACTATACAAGTTTGTCAATGTGCCCCCTAAACCAGATATGAAGTGGTTTTGACTGAAAAAGCTGTTTGGTCACCATATGTGCCCCTAAATACTTTTACAAACCACCATATGAACTATCACGGGTTTGTCAATTTGCCCCCTAAACCACTTTTATATCCGGTTTAGGGGGCATATTGACAAACCCGTATAGTTCATATGGTGGTTTGTAAAAAAAAATAGTTTATATGGTGATGCGCCAAAACCGTGATAGTTCGGATGGGAAAAAGTATTTTACCCAAAAAAAATATGTCTAAATATATTTTTAATTCCACTCATTTTTTTTTTCCAGTGGTTCATGCACCTTCTTTCTCCTCTCTCCCTCAATCTCTCTCTCCCCTCCCCTATATAAACCTCTCCCTCCTTTCACCCCCAAAAATTCAGATAATTTCCTCTCTCTCACACCCTAGAAAAATACTCAACACACTGAAATTCCATGTACCAACCAATTTCTGGTGAGACAGCGACGGCGAAGGCGGAGCTATCGGAGGTGTACCGCCGGAGCTCCAGCTTCGGCAGCCTGGTCACCTGCCTGACGGAGACCTGGGGCGGCCTGCCTTTCAAGGTCGACGACTCTGAGGACATGGTCATTTACGGCCTCCTGCGCGACGCCGTTAGGGACGGCTGGACGCCGTTCAAGG